GGCGGGAAGACGCTCCCGCCTGCAAACTTTGCCTTTGCAAAGTTTAAGCCTGGAAGCCCCGGAAACCTGAACAACTTCCCAGCAACTTGCGGCTTCCTTTTTCCTTGTGGGTGCTTGCGCCTGGCCCCAAGCTGCACGGCGGAAGGGAAACCCGGAGCGGCGCTGGGTCGCCTCCTCCAAGCAGCCCACCCGCCCACCGGGCAGAACCCTACCCGCTCCTCGACAGGAAGACGCTCCTGCCTGCAAACTTTGCCTTTGCAAAGTTTAAGCCTGGAAGCCCCAGAAAAAAGAGGGGGATCGGCGGGGACTCACCTTCAGAGAGGTCGCACTCGAAGGTGATTTTGAACTCCCAGCCAAGGCCTTTGCAAAGTTCTTCTTTTCTTTCCTACCCCGAGAGCGCTCCGTGCTGTTTTGCAGCTTTGGGGGCCACGCAGCGCAGGGCAATACGCCATGCCCAGCGATTTTTTTTCAGAGGGGGGCCGGATTGGACAGACCAACGGGCCGGATGTGGCCCGTGGGCCATAGTTTGCCCACCCCTGCCATAAGGCATCTTGATTTTTTCAGTTTTCTGTTTTTCCTGTTTGATGGTGAGCGTGGCACAATTATCCAATCCAAACTCCATTGCAATATCTTCTCTATATATTCGGACAGTGTTGACCAGCAATTCCATTTCAGACGATGTTTTTCCAAATAGTTTAAGGTCGTCCATATAAAAGAGGTGGGATACTGTAGCAGATGTTTTTGATTTTTGATAGTTATGATTTGAATTAGATAATCATGATGATGATGCCCAATAATATTTCAGAAAATAGAACATTCCAGTCCACGCTGTATCATAAACTTTATATCAGCGGTCGGGCCACGAAAAATTTTGGGAGGACTGCAGAGAAATGTCACCCCCAGAGCACCCCACCAAACCAATTAATCCAGGCTGCGTGGGAAAACAAGGCTGTGCCGCCCACATGGCTCTCCCTCCCCACCCACTGTCAGCTTTAAAATTCAGCTGCCACATTTTTTTAAAGAGAGTTGGAGGAGTTGAAAAGTTCAAGGTTATTCTGTATGTCGTATTAAGAAATTCCAGTGGTAAATAATTGGTTCTTGTGATTTATGAAGTGTAGAAGTGGGAGAAGGGAGGAGAGAATGTGGATTCTGTGTAACACGTGAAAATAATTTCACTTGGGAAATTGCCTTTGACATGCCAGATCTATTTCTAAATAAATCAATTGGAGAGAAAATGTCTTGGAGTGATTGATATCATGGATACTTTCTAGATACCTTACATTTATTTCCCAAGTGAAATTATTTTCGCGTGTTACACAGAATCCACCTTCTCTCCTCCCTTCTCTCCTCCCACTTCTACACTTCATAAATCATGAGAACCAATGAAGTATCACTGGAATTTCTTAATACGACATACAGAATAACCTTGAACTTTCTTTTCAACTCCTCCAATTCTCTTTAAAAAAATGTGGCAGCTTAATTTTAAAGCTGACACACTCCTTACCTGGCAAACTTGCCTGCTAAGTTGATATTTTTCCTTTTTCCAACCATCAGCTGTTCTGCTGTGCCGGGAGATTTAGATTAACTAGAAAGCAGGAAATCATTGGATTTCTTGCTTTCTAATTAATCTTTAGATTTTCAGCTCTGCTTTTAAGCAGAGCCGAACCTTCCTTAGGACTGAAGCAGTGCAGACTCAGCTAGCCGATGGCAGAAACACAGATCTCTAAGTAAATCTGTGAATCTGTGAGCAACTCAATCTGCCTGCTGCTTTGCCTGATTTTGGGTAAAAGTTGCTCTTTTTTTAATAAAAAAATCAATATTTATATACATGGTGTGTTGTGAGTTAATTTTGTGAGTTTGCTTGCAAGCAAATTTTATATAACAGACTCAGCTGATGGCAGATAGATAGATCTCTGAATGAATCTGTGATTCTGTGAGCAACTCAATCTGCCTGCCTGCTTTGCCTAATTTTGGGTATAAGTTGTTCTTTTTTTTAGAAAAAACTCAATATTTACATACATGGTGTGTTATGAGTTAATTTTGTGAGTTTTCTTGCAAGCAAATTTTATGTGACAGGCTCAGGTAGCCGATCTCACAGATCTCTGAATGAATCTGTGATTCTGTGAACAACTCAATCTGTCTGCCTGCTTTGCCTGATTTTGGGTAAAAGTTGCTCTTTTTTATAAAAAATTCAATATTTATATAAATATAATATTTACATACAAACCATGCCCAGACAGTCACATGACCACCAAGCCACACCCACAAATTAGGCCATGCCCACAGAACCGATTGTTAAGAAATTTGAATGCCACCCCTGCCTCTGTGTGTGTGTGAGAAAGAGAGGGAGAGGGAGAAATGTTAAATCAGACCTCTCTCTCTCTCTCTCCCCCCCTCCCACCAACGTCAGCAAGCCACCCTCAGTCAAAATTCATATTAGTGGTCCCGGGATTTAAAATTATGAGTTTGGTGGTCCCTGAGGTCCAAAAGGTTGGTGACCCCTGCTTTATATCACTTGTTTCTCGTTCTCACTGCTACTTGCTTCTTTCCATAAATGGATAGGGTGGTTTAGCACATGGATTCCTAAATGATGGGTTGTGAACCCCAGAAAGTAATAAACTATCTGTGGGTGTATGGGGGGAATAGTAGTTGTTTAGACTTTAGTTACTAAGTTTAAATATTGGATTCTTTTTCTTATGAATTTCTGGTAGTATTTTTTAAATTAATATTTCTTACAGAATATTATTTTGAAATGAAAAAAATTGTATAGCTAATTTAGAAACTGATTCAATATATTCATATCTACTGTTGATTGTATTTCTATAATTTGCCCTGATTACAGGATTCTTTATGGATTGAGATTAATAAAAATCTCATATCTGCAGATTTTTGCAACTGATACCTATTGATCATGTGACAAACTTATTGGATGTTGGTGATCCATTGATATTACCACCAGTTATTGAGTTTGCTTCTCTTGGATTTATTTTAGTGTCTTCAGTTTAATATATTCATAGCCTTTGGAATTTGTACAAGTCTATTACGTTCATTTTTATTTTTTCTCTAAATGTTACAGTTCTTACATTTTGTTATTTGATATCAAGATAAAAATATGGCTGCCCAAAATAAGTCACATATTTATTTCATCTCAAGTTATAACTTTGATTCATGGTGGAATTTTTTGTAACAAGAAATAATTATTTTAGGGGGACTTAATGTCACAAAGTTTGAGAATCTTTAGTATTTTATGTGAACTCACAGTTGTAGTTTTTATATGCAAACAATGGCTTACTATGCTATATGATTCCTTGTAATCATATCTGGAAGGATGAAGGAAATATTTGCCATTGCATGAATACCTAAAGTAATCTAAATTGTTGCATTAGGTTATAAGGCTGCAAATTAAGCAAAAGAGAAGAGACACTTGGTGGTGCTGGTGGTAAATGTAAGTTCCTGCCTTAAGGAATCTTATTATAATTTATTTATGTTAGTCTTCTGAATTGTTAGCATTTTTAATAGTAAACCTATCACTTAAAAAGTGAGAGGTTTTTAAATTATTAAATTATATTACAGACATATATAGGGACCAGTACATTTGTTGGAATAGTTAGGATCTGTAAAATGTAGTATAACATGGCATTGTGATGCTATAGTAGGCTAGTTAACTGGCACAGCATTTACAATTGTGTGTGGCATATCTGGAGATGTTTTTTTTTTAAAAAAAACTGGCAGGCACAGATGAAGGAACATCTAAGATCTATGTAGTTGAGACAAAAAATGTTTGGTTTTCATGTGATGTTCCAGCATTTAGGAGATTGTGCAGGTAAATATGCTAGGTGGAATACTATTGAATTTACTTCAATTCGGTGCCCTTCCCACAATTCGAACACAGGAAAAATATAATCCAAAACATCTGGAAAGTTTTTAGACTGAAAAAGGCTGTTTGGCCTAAAGAGCTGCATAAGACCTGCTACTGCTTTGTATTTATGGAGTTCTCTTCTATTGGAATTTTCTGGATCTCAAAGAAAATTCTCCACTTGAAAAACAAACAAAAAGCAAGGTACCATATTGGTTATATTCGCATGTTAAACCCTGATTAATGCAATTGGCTGAATGTCTACATAGCCATTATGTATTTTTTTAGTGCATTTGGCCTACCTCAGTGTAATTCAACATACTTAGTTAGATGTTCCTCTTTTTATGCAACTATAATTGAAAATTGCAGAGTTCTATTATTAAAATGAATGGGACATAATCAGCTATTGATTCCGTCAGATGTTCTCAGAGAAAATATACAATGTAATATTTGCTTAATTTGGAAGATTGCAATATAATAAAAACCCCATTTTGACTACTTGATAATTAATAATTTGTATTTCCGATAAAGAACTTTCAACAATCTGTTTGATACTATCATCTTTTATATTGTTTGGTTTCTTTTCTTCCCTGCAAAAGATAAGGCTAATAGATTCTGAAAAGATTCTGCTCTAGTAATATGCCCCGTTACTGAGTAATTTGCCCCATTACTGAGAAAAGATTGGTGACAGGTATTTTGGAAGTTTTAAAGTATTATTTTGTGAATATCACCGACATAAATTTGTTCCTAAAGACATACTTTAGGTCTTTGGATATTTTAATAGTTTTCATGACTCTTAATTCCAGATTTTCCGGAGTGTGCAGCTGATTGCTGTTCCTCTTGCACTGATTGATCATTTTCTATTAGCCGTCCGGCCATTCGTTTTACCGTCTGCGCCGGGTGCACGCGCTTTTTAATTTGCTTTGGTAGCTGTCTGCCTTGCGCGCAAGCAGGTTTTTTAGCTGCAAAGCTGTAGTTTAACCCCGCAGTGCGCACGGGAAACCGACGGTGGCGCTACCGCCTCCGTTTTTGTGTTTCCTCCCCCCCCCCTTTTGCTTTCCCTTCCCCCTGCCTTGCCTGCCCGGTGCATTCTCCGATTAAAGGGAGGAGAAGGAGGAGGAGGAGGGCAGAGCAGAGAAGGAGCTCAGCCGCCATTTTCCCCCCGAACATTATCTAGCAGCAGAAAAACAGCAGTAGCACCACCACCTCCACGGTCGCTGCGGCTACCTTCTGTCGTACGCGGTGGAGGGTCGGGTACGAAGGCAAAAGGGGGGGGCGAAGGCGGAGAGGAGGAAACGCCGCAGAGACTGTTGCACATTGTGCCCCACTTTGAAGAGCGGGAGACCCTCCTTTGCAGTAGGAGGAGGAGGCACCGCAACAGCCGCCGCCGCTGGGGGGAGAAAGCCAGGAGCACCTTTTTTTTCTCCCCCCCCAATCGCTGCCGCCGCCTCTCTCCTCTTGGGTGCGTGGGGTGGGGGCGGTTGCAAAAGAAGGCAACCTCGCCCCCCCCCCGAGTCCCTTCCTTCCCCAGCCCTTTTCCTGCCCGCCCGCCCTCCTTGCCCGCAGAAGAGCAGGGAGCAGGCGGGCAGGGAAAGGGGGAGCTGGGGCTGGAAGGAAGGGGGAGAAAGAGGAGCGCCCGAGAGAGAACAGCAACAGCGAGAAGACGTTTTGTGGTGGCGGGAGCGAAGGAAGAAGACTGCGTTCGCCTTGTTTGCAAACTGCGCCCTTTTTATTATTACTACATACATATATATTTTTTTGCGTCGGGCCGGATCCGCCCGGACTCTGCTCTCAGCTCCGTCACGTGGTAGGTGTCGCCGCCTGCTTGCTTTGCTTTTGCCTGCTTTACTCGATTGCTTGCTTGGCTTTCCCGTTGCCCTTGCTCGGCCCTTCTGTCGCTGTCTTTGTTAGCGCTACTGGCTGCCTGTACCTCGCACGAGCCCGCAGCGGCCAGAAAACAACTTCTATGACCCTTATTTCTTCCCCTCCTCCCTGAGTTTGATTCGCAACTCGTTTGCCTTTTAATTTCTGGTTCTAAGGTGAACATTTTTTTGCAGAGAGATTTTTCTTTTTTAAAAAACCGTAATAGTCATGAAACTTCCCTGTCCGGTTCTTTATTTTCCGTTCGAAGTGTAAAATACTGCCACGTTCTTAATTCTTAATGATATTTTTTTTTCCTTACTACTTTCCCGTTCTTACCTGTTATGTGTTTGCAACACTCCCAGGCGTTTGCGCTGTCCTGCAACTACAATGCAATCTCCTCTCTACCTCATTACCTTTGGAAAGCCATAAAGCTTGCAGCTTGGAGTAATCGTGCTTTTATAAGGTTACAAAAGAGCTTTTAGTTTCCCTTAACAGTTAAGTGTGGGACGGAGGTGGGGGAAGAAGGGAATAAGCAGTGCAGCCGGTCGTCTATGCTAGGGGGTGGGAAAGAGAGGGAACTGGAAAAGACTGACTTTGTTTAATGTTTGGAATAGAGGCGACCACTCCCGCTGTCCATTTTACAATAGCACTTGTAAAGTACTTCCCTCAATGAACGCAATGTCTTCTGTAACGGGCCCGTGTCTCGGTTGCTGCTGCTGTTACTGTTATTGTTAGAGTGGCGTTAAAAAACTAGCCATGTATTTGCGCGCTTATGCGAAGTATTGCGGTTCCAACGCAAATTGGGGGAGGGGAAGAAGAAAAGCTGGTTTCTTATGGCGCCACTTTAACTTGAAGGTTTTGCTCTTCTGTTAACGCAGAAAGCTTCCCAATTGGAAGATGTTTGTTTTCTTTGTATTAGTCGCTTGCTCTGCTTGTCTCCTCCCCTTTTCATAAACATGCTGCTTTCCAATTTACTTCTCGCCAACATTCGAACTCCGGCGTTCCCAAAGTTCCATCACATCCGTCCAAACCTACCCCCAATTTCCATTCTCAAACATCTTGTGTGTGCGCGCGCGCCCGTGAGCGCGCCTGTATTGGAGATTTTGTCGTCACGTGGCTGGTTGGCAGTCATTTTTGTGTGCGCCTTGTGGAGACTGCATGCTGTATCCTTATAGCTACAGCTTTTACAATCAACAATGAATTTGCTTCTTTTTCCCTCTCTCCTCTCATGGTACTTTCTAAAGTAACTTATTTATATATTCTATAACCAACCAAACTTTTAATATAGTTTTGGGGAAGCCTTAACCAAATTATGCTTGTTTTGCTTAATGTCTATTGTGTGAGATTTTCCTTTTTATTGTAATAGAATCTGAAATTGCTGTTTGGGGTATAGACTCCGATCAATGTAATAAGTAGTATAGAAGGTGTGCTAGGAAGTTGGTTCTTAATGACATTTTACTATCAAGTGTACTTGCTCATTTGTTACTTATGAATATTCTTTTTTCCTCCTTAATTAGACTTATAGTTATCTTGCTTAGTGTTGTCTGCGTTTACTATTGATAATTTAGAATTAGTGGCACTGCTTTTGTTCTTAAAGCAAACTAGCAAATGTAATTCTCAGGTTTTTTTTTTCTTAAAATTGAAAATTCTGCTTCACTATTTGATCTTTTAGGTTAGTTCAAAAAAGAAATGAACCTTAAAGTAACTTGTTAAAGTAAGATGAACTTTAGTTTGGAAGGGAAATTGGCATTTTCAATCCTTTGATTTAAAACCTGTTCAGTGTCACATAATAGTTTGCTGCCACTTAAAAATAATATGAGAACATCAACATGGTGTTTGTATTCTAAGCACTAGAAAATTGTTGCTCTTTCTTGCAATTGCACGATTGCTCATACCGGGATTTACTCTACTTATGATGCATAATTCTAAAAATAAAACAGGTAAAAGGCTTTTCTGCAGGACATAAATGTAAAGAAATACTTCTGGTTGTCACAAACTTTAGAAGTTGTTCGCAACTGCTTTTTGAATTGTTTAAAGCTATACATGGAAAATTATCTTTAGAAAGGTAGTGTTAATGCACTAGCAGATTCAACATGAAGACATCACTTCTAATGAAGTTGCTGTCTTTAAACTTTATAGTAAATTATGTTTAACTTGAATAGAATACTTCATTTAGTTCATATATTAACTGAATGACTTATAAATAAAGTTATATAGGATTTTGCTGTATATGCCTAGTGTTCGTGAATGATGATTCTTAATATTAGATATGTTAAAACTATGTGTTTGATTCAGTTGTAAAACATGACTAACCCACATTGAAGACAGTTCCTTAACATAGTGAAACATTATGCATATGAATGGTTACGCAATTGGGTAATTTGTAAATAAGATTCCGTTTTCTCAAATGTGTTTTTCACAAAACATATATTTCTCTAAAGTTATGACAGTGTTGGGGTTTCTAGGTGGCATATCTCCTGCGATTTAAAGCTTAATGTCCAAGGTTGATATTTGTTTTTAAAAATTCATTAACATCTAAAATGTAAAATTATCCTTATTTGCAGAACAATTTTACTGTCATGGTTAAGATGCTGCTGGACTAGGAATAGGGAAACATAGGCTAAAGAAACTCACTGAGTGGCTTTGGGCTAGTCATTCTCGGATCACCTATCTCATAGTTGTGGAGAATATAGAAAGTAGAGCTATATACCTACTTGTTTGTGATCATGTCAGCACAATAAGGAAAAGAACCTGGGGAGCAATCCTCACATACAATAATTTGTATGTAACTCCTTTCTAGGATGGCTTTAGTGAAGATGAAGCTAAGCTATAAAATGGCTAACTAGCAAATATGCCTGCTAGTTCACCAATATCTGTGGGAAATAAACTGTCTAGGTTTGGTTTGTCTTAAGTGTTATGAGTACAATCAACCCATCAGTTGCAAATGGAATAAATAATGTGCTTTTTCATGATAAGGAGGTGAAGTCTCTTCATCCTTTCAGTAGAGCCTATAGGAAGACTGATCAGCAGTTTTTCTAAACTGTGGCTCTCATCATTTCCCACAGAGTTGTGGAATGTTCAGTGTTCTTTTGAATTTGATATTCTTTTCCCTTTTGAAAGCTTTGGGCTGCAATTCTCATCACAGGTGAGGTTTTGCAGTTGGGGCCAAGGATATTATCAATTCACTGATGCTGGATAGGACAAATCAGATATATTACCTATTTGAAATTTTTTTGTTTTTGCTTCTGTATATAGTTGTAGCTATCTCAAATCATTTTGATGATGTAAAGTGGAAATAAGATTTAAAAGCAATATATATGTGTAGAAAAAAATCTGTTGTATTGCAGCTGCTGTGTTTTATTTGTTTTGCAGATGTATTAAATAATGCTCATAATTCTCTGACAGCATATCTTTAGATTTTAGCCATAGTGGCTGGGAATTGTAGCCCAACACATTCGGCTGGAGAATCTGCTATTTCAGATAGGGAAGCTGGTAATTTCATACAAGTGTGTTTTATGTTAGATATTTTTTCCTCATACTTACAATGGAAATGTTAAGGCATAGTTTACTGTGAATTTCTTTACTACTGGGAATAAAAAGATATTTCATTTACTTATGGTACAAATTAAGAAAAGGGAGATATAGTTAGTTTTTAAGGTCATAGGTTAAAACAAGTTACGTAGGAGACAAAATTCTAGGGGATAAATATATTGACAGAAAGATAAAATATCTGATTTATATTCGTAATGAGACTGTTGAATCAGGATTTGAAAACATTGAAGAATTGATCTAATAATTTATATCACATTAACAAAGTCAGTCAAAGTGCAGGAGAATAAAATAGGTACCAAATTAGACAGAAATATTCATGAAATTCTATTATCTCTGATGTTCAATTGCTGTTTCTAGTTGTCTTCTTTTATACAAACTTGATATAATGATAAGTGTTATATGAATTTAATTTCCTATTTCTATGTTGAAATTGCTTTTTTTAAAATAAAATATACTTTTAGAGCCTTGATTAAAACATGAAAATAATCAGCACGTTTGTTTTTTCATATGTTATTGTTTTAAAATTCTGAGTTTTAACTAAGTTACAGTTATCATAAAACAAAAGATCTGGTGGATTCTGACATCTCTTGACTATTGAAGTTGTGTTTGTAAACTGTTTGTGTACTAGTTGAACTTACATAGACCAAATAACTTTTTAGCAGCTAATTGCTGTATTGAAAATAAATACTCTCCATGGGCCTCAATGATAGAGCTTGTATCACTAGAAGTATCCCTTGAAGAGGTGAAACTAAAATTGGGGGCCCTTTGAAATTGCTTGTGGACTTGGCATTTTAAAAATAAAATAGCTGTGTTAAGACTTGAATGCCTAATGGATAGTTCTGTTATTTATTTTCACAAATACTAAATATTGACTTCTTGCCATTGATATTCAATGGTATCTTTTGGAGGAAATAAGTTTTTAAGGGCTGGAATTTTGCAGATTGCTGCATAGGAAATGATGGAATCTGTTTAAAAGGTATGTTGGAGGAAAAAACATCTTTTAAACACACTTGATTTCTCAGATAATGTATCTATTAAAATAGAGCGTATTTGAAATAAGTGAAATCATTTTGAGATTTTGCTTGTCTATCAACATTAGCCAAAATGTTTGTCCAAACTGAAAGCAACTGAATTCAAACCACATTTAGTAGTAGAGAATAATGCAATAATTTACTGTGTTGGGAGAGTTGGGAGGGAGAGACAAAGATCAAGAAGATGTACTAACCCTGAGCATAGTTTTGTAATTATTGGAATCCTATAAGTTTAGGATTGTTGGCCTTATACCCAAATAGCTTTCATACTTAACAGCTGCTATAGCTAATACAAAGTACTCTTTTGTGTCTGAAATACTAAGATTCTGCATTCCCAGAACAATGGATCTGAATAACAAGA